GCGGGGCCGAATCGTTCGGCGGGATGTCCGAGAGAAGTGCACACCTCCACCACCCCGTCAGCATCAGCAGCGGCAGGCAGCACACCCCCTTCCTCCTCATGAATCGGGCCTCCTGCGGCCTCGACCGCCACCTGCACCGACGGTGTCGAGTCTGACACGTAGTGCTGGGGGGTCAACCTGAAGAAACGCTCAGCCGTGGCCCGCTGAAGGGCCGAGGGAGCGCAAGCCGAGTTACGCAAGAAACGATATGACAGGGTGGTGCGAGCGAAACGGTTGCACAACAAACACCTGTACTCAGAAATAGCTTTACTGAACATCATCGTGTGGGATGTGACAGCAAGCGAAAGAGCGGGGGGGGCCTTGCGGGGCGCTGGGGCGCCGGCAGCTGGCTGCAGCTGCTCCGCCTTCCGCGCGGCCGCCTGGACCATCCAGGCGAAGGCCTCACCGTCCTTACGAGCGACCTGCAATCTGGATTTGTGCACATCAACTAGGACCTGCGCCACAGCATGGGACTGCGAGCCCAACTTAGCAAAATAATCGGCCCATTCGTTTCCGACAAAGTCAAAAACTTCGGCCGCCCCTAGGGGCAGCACGTCGTCCAGGGAACGATGGGCGCTCGTCCAGCGAAAGAGGGGAGGCTCCGACTGTCCAATATCGTGCCTTATCTGCCTCCAGATAAACGCCTGACGAGAAGCACCAGATTCACACAAAGAAGAGAGCTGCTGGCCTGTCTTCACCAAACTGAGATGATCAGACACAATCTCAGCTGGGCGCGCTGCGATCTGGATGGCTCGCAGGGCGGCATAATGCTCCGCCCTAGGGACGGTCTGAAGCCTGCCAGGAAGCGGGCCGTAGATCGCTCTAACAACACAGCCTGACTCATCAAGTTGAACCACGGCCCAGCCGCAGCGCGTCAGGCCTTCCATCGAATTCGCCAGGCCTGACCCGTCCGTGTACACCCTCGGCCCCCAAGCTCCCCGCCAGTCACCCCACCCCATCGTCGGAAGCGAGTCGGCGACTGGCTCTGGAAAGGGCGGCAAGGGCGGCAGCCCATAATTTAAAAAGAAAGCCTCCTTGCCATTGTCTGTCTGGTAGCTCTTGACCAAGCTGGCACGGTGCTCCAAAACGTCGTCGGGCAAAGCTTCTTCAGGCCTACACTCAAGCATGCCATCGCAACCCCACCACTGGTGGGCCTCGGTGCCGACCTGCTCTTTACACACAAAACACAACGGCGTCGGGCGCAAATTAATCGAATGGAGGCGCTCAGGAGTCCAGACCCCCGCAGCCCACAAGGACCGCAGCGCCCCACGACGGCCCCCATCACGGAGAGCAAGCACTGATTTCCGAAGCGCACGACGCCAAACAGTGTGCCCCTGGTTGTCGGGGAAATGGGCCAGGACCCTCGCAACCTGCCATCTTCGAATTCCCTGCTCCAGAAAAATGCGCACGTCCTGAGGACATACACGGAGCAGGTCGATGGGCCAGCCCTCGTCGCTCACTAAGGTGGTGGGTCCTGACATTGACCAACCTATCCGAAGGAGCGTATACCAAACCGAAGAAATAGGACCCCTGGCAAACTTCCACGCTGGATTGTGCTGAATTCTGTCTTTGATCGCGAGCCAAGCTCGAGCAAGACGTGAAGGAACGACCCTGGCTTCCCAGACACAAGTAGCAAACCTCACAACAAGCGGAACCGAAGCATCGAACACAGGGTCGAACCTATCGTCCTTTTGCGTGCATAGATAGGTAGTGAGGCAGGACTTGGGCTTAGCTCCTACCATCCCTCCCGCAAACGTACGCAGCTCGCGGAGAGAAACATCGGACACACCGCTAACGCCACCTCCGTGGCTGGCTGCTGGGAGGAGCCCCGTTCGCCAAAGGGCCTTGACGGCCTCAGGTTGAGCCTGACGGAGCCCCCAGACTTTACGCCTCTTGGACTGCAAGACTCGAAGTCGGGCCTTCTCTTGGACCCGCAGAACCTTGACTCCGTGCATCTCGTGCCCTAGATTACGCATGCCGTGCTTGCTGCGAAAACCTAGCTGCGAAATGTGCCGTGCGAATGTGTCACGGGCGGCACAAGTGTTGGCCACAAACCCACTCTTATTCGCCTGCACACGCAATCCGAGGGGGGCAATGTCATGGCAGAAAGACTGAACCGCCTGCGCAAGCACATGTGAGCTCTCTCCTGGATCTTTGCCTTGGCGGCGTTTGCCCACCCAGTTAAAACTCACGTCATCCATCAGGTCCCTGGGTTCCACAGATGGGAATCGCTCCACCGACAGGTTCAAACTTCTATACAGAAGCACCGTGAGCAGAGTGGTGGCTAGAGAACACCCAGCTAAGATCCCTTGGGCCGTGGAAACCGAGTACGACAAACTACCGAAGGCTCTAAGGGCTCTAGGCTGGGTGTAGTTCTGGATGGCCATCCAGGCCAGACGGAGCGGGAACCCTGTGGCCTTGGCCTCCCTCAAGAGGGCCTGGAGGTCTACACATTCATAACATTTCACCATGTCTATGAAAACAGTAACACAATCCTCTCGCAATTCGTGCGCAATCTCCGAAGCTAAATTTAAAGAGAAGGCGCTGTCACTGGACGATCGCCCTGGACCTGTCCCCCACACCGTGGGATGCGCGTGGTCACGCTCCCAGGCGACCGCTGTTGGACGGCGAACACGTCCCCAAATCCGAGTGAGGGTGTGCATTAGGGCGATCAGCCTGCAGCCGCCTGTGGACTTCGGAATACGCACAAGCTGAGTAAGTATGCGAGACGACGGCCAAATCAGAAGCTTTTCACATCGCATGAACAAGCGCGCCAGCGACTCCAGGCCGGCGTCCGAAACGAACCAGAACGCGCGGGGCGCGAACTCGAAGTGCCCGATGCCCGTGGTCCAGGGGAACTGCAGGATCGCACGCTTGATATCGTCCAGGGATATATGTGGTAGGTCGTCCCACTGATCAGATGCGTGAGGTACTGGCTCAGGAAGATCATGCATGTGCCATATGGCGTCCCACTCTCGCATAGCTCTGTCCGCCATCTTGAATGGCTGCGCCTCCGAACCAGGGAGCAGGCAGGCAGCACAAACTTCCTGAAGAGCACGGCTTCGAGTGTGACGGTGTGCGAAACGACCTCCACCTTTGAACGACGAAGCCGCCCACTCTCGCCAACACGCCAAGGCTGTGTCATTCTGGCGCTTCTGGCACTCGTCCGCTCGACCGATGATGCTCTCAATCATGTCATTCGTACGACCACTGGTGACGAAACCGATGTCCATGTCGAAGAAGTTCCGAGCGTCATCATCCAAGGCGTCGCGTAAAGGATCGTTGCGAATCCTTGTCATGAACTTGGTGATGTCCACTAGCATACGAGCAAACTTGTCGAAAGCCTTGCTGGACATCGTACCCGCCCGCTCCTGATGGCATAGCAGCACAGCCTGATTGACAAGGCTCTCTTTGTAGCGGCGTAAATGGCGGGCCCATCGGCCTGCTGCTCTCCAAGCTCTGTCTCGTGTTGTCTGCTCACCTCTGCGCCTAGGCGGCTCCCACCGCAACTTAGCGTACTGCATTTGGGTGTCTCCGCCTCTGCCTCGGTAAGCCTCAGTGTGAGATCCGACAATATCATATCTGGCAAGCAACTCAATCTCCAACTGTGCCAAGACTGCGTCCCATGCTGCACTCAATGTGGGATTATCAATCGCTTGATCAATAATACGATTGACCTGGCACCAGTTCAAAGGGTATCTAGAGCACCCAGGCTTCGGCTGTCTCGAAGGGCGCTTCGGGCTGACCAACGTGCGAGTCTTCAAAACAACATCCTTCCCCATGATAGGTAATACCACTGGCAGGTGTGGGAATGTGTCTCCATTTTCCTGCACATACGGGCGGCACGTTCTGGGGAGCAGATTGGTGGTCATCAGGAAATAGTCTATCGTCCTGCCTGGCAACGACTGCCTGCACGTCGAAACTGATGGGCGCGTCAACACACCTCCCAGTCCATACAACCATTCCATGTCTCCGAACTCGGCCTGCTCCAGGTTGAAGTCTCCCGCGACGATCCAATCAAGACCCATCGCGTTGACAACTTCAATGTATTCACAGATCTCTGCCAAGATGCGAACGTTATTATCAGAGAGGCCTTCATTCACATAAAGATATGTTGAAATCACAATGAATCCTCCAGGCACCCCCCAATGGACGTGGGCTGCCAGCGCTCTCCCATTCGCCATGTGGGGCGTCGAGCGCCCTGGGGGGGCCGTGACCAGCACGTCTCCCTTCGCCAGGATGGCCAGGCCCGCCTGAGTGCCCTCCTGGTTGCCCGTCTTGGTGGCCGAGCTCCAGACTCCATGCCAGCCAGGGTCCAGAGCTCGATGCTGCAGATCTGGAAGACGATCCTCTGCGACGTGGTGCTCTTGTATAGCCACCACAGTGTGCTCGCAGGAGTCAAGGAAGCGCAATAGCTGGCCCTCCTCAGAGCAATTGAAAGTCACAATAGAACCCTTGCGGTCAGGAACATGATTACCATCTTCATCTGCACCTGTGTGAGAAAAGGGGAATGGGCGGCCCCAAGCGTCATCCTTGCCATCACCTCCGCCAGTCGTCCCAGCTGGAAGCCCAGCAGATCCGATGCCTGAGCAAACCTCCCCGTAGTCGTTGCCGCCCAGACGGCCTCCGCGGTCTTCCTCGTCATCACCTCGGCCAGTATTCCCAAACGGTGGCTCGCTGCGGTCTCCCGCTGCTATGCTGCGGTCTCCCGCTGCACTGCCGAGAGCCTCGGTGCGAAGCCAGTGCCCAGCAGATCCGATGCCTGAGCAAACCTCCCCGTAGTCGTTGCCGCCCAGACGGCCTCCGCGGTCTTCCTCGTCATCACCTCGGCCAGTATTCCCAACCTGAAGCCCGACAGATCCGACCGCAGAGCAAGCCGCCTGGGAGCCAGAGGCAGCAGCAGGCCCCTGCCCTGCTCGTCGAGGAAGCAGTACGTCTCGATCGGCCGCAGACGGGCCGACCTTGCTGGAGGCCTTGCCTCGGCGCTGGCGCGCTCTCGCCTTAGTCAAGGCCTGCTCGCGCGCTCCAACGCGCTCCAGCAGCTGGGCCCTCCGCATGCTGCGGGCAGCGCTGGCCTCGGCCAGGGCCGCGGGAGAGCGGCTGGAGCCTGCCGCCGCCGACGCTTGCCCGAACAGCGGATTGGCATCCAGCCCTCCAGCAACCGTGCCGATGGTGCCAGATGCCCTTGCCAGCGGCAGGAGCGCCAGGAGCAGCAGCGCGCGCAGCAGGCTAGGCAGCAGACAGCACCTTGGCCCTCTTGACCTCGCGCCAGCCGCCCAGCGCGTCGGTGATCTTGCGCACCTGGCCGCGGAGCTCCTCGCACTCCTGGGACGGGTCCACGCCCGAGCTGGAGAGGAACTCGCGCAGCTCCTCCTCGGTCGCCGTGTCGGGGTCTGGGAGGTCTGGGCCTGCCTCCGACCCCTTGGCGCCCTGGCTGGGCACAGGCTCAGCCTTGGCCTGGGTCGCCCTTGCCTCGGCCGCAGCCTTGGCCTCCTGCGCTGCGGCCTCGACCTTACGCTGCTCGTACTCACGGACCTCGCCCAGCACCGTGCCAAGCTTCTCCGCGAGCACCCCGCTGTCGCCGAGCTCCGCCAACATCGCGCCCAGCTTCTCGATGGTGACGCCGAGCCCCTCGACGATGTCAGCCTTTGGCGAGACGCCTCCAGCTGGTGGACGAGGGAGCGTGGCGGCGAGCCGCGTCTGCTCCTGCTGGAGCTCCAAGATCGCCGCGTCGGACTCGGCGAGCTGCTGCGTGGCCTCATCCACCTCCTTGTTGGCCTGCACGACCTTGTCCTTGGCTGCCTGCAGGGCCTCCTCCTGCTTGGCGCGCTTCTGCTCGAGCTTGCCCAGCTTGAAGGACAGGGTGCGCAGCTGCGCTGGGACGGGCTTCGCAGCTGCCAGCTCCGCGCTGAGCTTCTTGCGAGTGTCCTCCAGCTCGACCCGAGCCGTCTCGAACAGGACCTCGCTGGAGCCGGCGATGGCCCGCAGCGCAGCGTCGACCTCCTCAAGGCGCGCCCTCTTCTGGTCCAAGGAGTCACCCTGGCCCTCACAGTGCTCTGCGCCCTCGTCGACCTCCATGGACGGCGCGTGCTGCTTGCTGGTGGTCTCAGCCAGCTTGGCCTTGGTGCTGGCCAACTCCTTTGCCAGGGCCTCCAGCTTGTCGTTAACCCACGGCGGCACCGCAGCAGAGCCGCTGCCTGAGTTCGCAGCTGGCGGCTTGGCACGCTTGGTGGACGGTCCAGGCGGCGGGCGAACACACATGAATGCCACGGCCTTGGCCGACCCGCACTTGGTGCACGACACCGTGTCGGACCGATTCCACCACTGGTTCTGCGAGATCGGGTGGATGCAGTACTTGCAGCACCAGTCCTTAGCCTGCTCGCGGCGCCGCTGCGCATGGCGACTGAGCTTCGGGGGCCCATCGCCTGCCATGCCACTGCAGTCCACTCCTCAGGCGTGCTTCGGAAAGAAGCCTGCGACGCCTGGGCAGGCTGACGCAGGCGTGCGTGAATGTGCCCCCCTGTGGGGCGGGAAGTAGGGAGCCTCGAGCCGCTCCCTTGGCTGCACACAAGCTCCCAGCGCGGGAGCGACGTTGGGAACTTGAGCCAAAATGGCTACGGAGAGGAGGAGGAGGAGGAGGAGGAGGAGGAGGAGGAGGAGGAGGAGGAGGAGGAGGACGAGAGAGGAGGAGGAGGAGGAGGAGGAGGAGGAGGAGAGGAGGAGGAGGAGGAGGAGGACGAGGAGGAGGAGGAGGAGGAGGAGAGAATGGAGGAGGAGGAGGAGGAGGAGGAGGAGGAGGAGGAGGAGGAGGAGGAGGAGAAGGAGGAGGCGATGTTTTCTTCATCGAGGTACCCTGGCATCTGCCGGTCTGATTTTTTCAATCCGCGGCTCCGAGACTCTGGACCCCGTCCCCGGGTGGCAGTTCGTCCCAGATCCGTTTGGGATGGCCCCAGATCTCCGACAACGGGCCCCAATGCCGAAATCGAGGATGTCGTCAAAGAGCTGGGTACAGCCGGCGCGCCAACGGCCCGGAGATCCGACGTCGCGAAAAAATGTTAGCATCAAGAGCCCTATAGACCCCTTTGTTCTCCTGCATTCCCCGAGCCGGATCGATGTGTGAGGCTCCCGAGGCCCGAAGCCCGGCGGAAACGCCCGCTGTGAAGAATTGCAACGCCCAAATCTGAAGGTTTTGCAGCCCCTCCCGGGCGCACCGCCGAGCTTTGCTTGCGTGTCATAACCCCAGACATGAGCGCGCCGTCAAACAATCAGGACGGGAGGTATATTGGCCGTGTTCGGCCCTGGGGCCCCCACTAGGCCTTCGGACCCTCAAAACACCACCCAGGCTGAAAAACTGGTCCCCGGGAAAGCGTCGAGACTTCCAGGGACCCAGTCCTGGAAAAATCAGGACGTCGCATGTCTGGCACTCTGGAAGATCTTCGGCACCGCCTGTTTTCTGAGCCCTCCGGCCGCCTGAGGCCCCGCCCGCCCGCGCCCTGTCTCCCTAATTAGGGCTACCCGCGTCCCGTTTAGCTCTTGACCGGAAGGGGCCCGCTCCCGACCCGCCGACCAAAAAAGTCTGGGACTCTGGACTCGGGCGGCCGTTCGGGACGACCCGCACCCCGCTGGAGAGCGCTCTCGACGAGGCAACAGCTGCTGGAGAGCACCCCCAGGACGCAAACACCGCCGAGGCGCGACGGAGACGCTTGAAAACCTCGCTCTGTTGCCGCCATCGCCCGGCACCAAGGGCATCGGCATCGTCCGCGTCGGCGTCGCTGCCGTCGCCGACGCCGCCACCCCCGCCGCCGCCGCTGCCGCCGCCGCCGCCGCCGCCGCCGTCGCCGCCGCCGCCGCCGCCGCCGTCGTCGTCGTCGTCGTCGTCGTCGTCGTCGTCGTCGTCGTCGTCGTCGTCGTCGTCGTCGTCGTCGTCGTCGTCTCGTCGTCGTCGTCGTCGTCGTCGTCTCGTCGTCGTCGTCTCGTCGTCGTCGTCGGCGGCGGCACCTGCACTGCCGGAGCCGCTGCCGCTGTCGTCGTCATCGTCGGCGTCGTCGTCGTCGTCGGCGGCGGCGCCTGCACTTCCGGAGGCAGCATGTCGTCCAGAGCCGTTATGGACCCGGGGCCCCGATAACGGGCCCCTGCTGCCGCCGTCGAGGAACAACGGCCAGCTTTTGGAACAGAAATCATCAGCGGGCGCGCCCACGGCGGCCCTGAAGGGGGGGGGGTAGTGTAGCTTCAGGTCGGGCACGTCCTCCTACAGACAGGTTTGGAAGACAAATGACAAATACGGCGGAGGCATTGGATAAGGAAACCTGAGGAATCCAGGGTCTGGAAGCCAGCTGCATGCCAACTGTGGATCGGCCATGAGTATCGCCACCGCCCTCATAAAATGAGGAATCCGCCAGGGTCTGGAGCCTACATGCCTGAAACCAACGCCCCCACCGTAGTCCAAACATGGTCACAGACCGTCTATATATATATATATATATAGATATATTTATATGTTTATTATGATTATTATGATTAGTAATATTATTATGATTATTCTTCTTCTTCTTCTTCTTCTTATTATTATTATTATACACACATATATGTGTGTTTTGATTTTTTAACGTCCCCGTACGATTTTCTGACCGTTCTCGGGCGCTCCTCCTGTAGAGGGACACGCCTGGCTCGAGTGTCGCTTGGCCGCGGCGGCAGCGCCTGCACTGCCGGAGCTGCTCCGCAGCGCCGTCGGCGTCGCCGGAGCGGGCGAGGTCGGCAGCCGCCGCGTGCGCGGCCGCTGCCTCGCGCCAGCGGGGTGGGCGCCGGGGCCGCAGGCCGGGGGGAAACGGCCATCGTTTTGGGCGACCCAAAAGGGGGTCCAGCTGAAGAGGGGTGGTGCACCAGCTTTGGGGCAAAGTGTGTCTTAAAAGTGCATTGCTCTGGAGAGATCTCTATTGCATTGTGCTGCACGTGTTGTCTTGCACGCGAAGAGCCAGCAAGACATTTGCGCCGTGGAAAGTGCTGCACGCCCCAAGTGTGGGTTACAACCCCGCCAATCTATTGCACCAAATCTATTGCATCACTCCCTTGTCGCTGGACCCGCTTTTGGGTCAACGCGAATTGTGACAAACAGAGTCGCCAGGATCTCAGGGTCCGTCTCCAACACACCACCCAGGACCCAGGATTCCACGGCCTCCGTCGTCTTCAGCGCGCACACGCGCACACACGCACGCACACACCACACACACACCACACACACACACACCACACACACACCACACACACCACACACACAACACATACAACACACAACACACAGACACACATTCAGACATGCGACGTCCTGTGTTTTTTCCGTGCGGGGCCACTGGAAGGCCCGACCCCGGGACTGCCTTTTCCTCCCGAGTCGTTCTTTGACTGTCCCGAGGCCCGGCGAGGGCCCCATGGGGCCGAAATCGGCCAAAAACCTCCCGCCCTGATTCGTAGTCGTCGGCTGTCGCCGTTGCTCATTGTCATCGTCGGGATCGGAACGGAGGTAACGGAACCCACGCGAAAAAATCTGTCATGGGAAGCTCCCGGAGGCCCAACACTGTTCGACACGTCTGTCCGAGGAAACCCTCGTAGGCCCTACACCATTCGAAAACGTCTGCCAGGGAAGCCCCTGGAGGTCCTACACCATGCGCAAACGTCCGTCCAGGAAGCCCCCAGAGGCCCTACACCATGCGAGGACGTCCGTCCAGGGAAACCCCCGGAGGCACTCGTCATCGTCGTTGTCGTCGTCGTCGTCGTCGTCGTCGTCGTCGTTGCTCGTTGTCAGTCGGGATCGTCGTCGTCGACGTTCTTTCAAGCTGCAGCGCACCCGAACGTTCGGCCCACTACCATGTAGGAAACGAACTCTATACACCGACGATTTTTCGGACCCTGCGCAGAAATTGACACAGAAACGCGAAGTTTGGTGTATACGGGATCCTGGTATATACATGTTTCGTCGTTTTCCCGGGACATCGGGGAAAGAAGTATACACCACACCACCCCAGCGTCGTCCCCGACCCTCACAAAGTCCTTGGATTCAAGAAACAGCCCGCCACTGGTAATGTATACGTTCCAGTTTCCGACCATGGACGCTGATCACGCTGGGGCTCACTCGGGCAATCTCAAGCTTCCCCAGAGCACCGAAGGACCCCAAGCCACCGGAAATACCCACAGGTAAACTCGAGAGTCTTCTTCCAGAAATACCCACGGACAAAAACTCTAGATCCTTCTTTGAGGTCGGCGGCAGAGGCGGCCGCCTGTAATAAGTTGACCAAAGAATGACCCCCAACCCTTTGGGAGGGGACCTAAGTTAGGAGGGCCGAAACATCGGGAAGAGGGAGTCTTTCTCTGCAGATGCACCGAACCAAACCGCCCAGAATTCTTATGCTCAATGCGAAGACGGGGACCTCAGTGAGGCCACGTCTTCATCGTGATCTTCGGGTTAGGAATTCTGTTGCTCTCGACGATAAGATTTCACAGCCTCCGTCTCCAGCACACCCCAGTCGGAAGTGTTGCCACAGGTGCCTCTGGCCCAAGGTGCCCCCAGCTTGTCGCTCCCCCCTGGGGTCCTCTGGGCCTCGTGCGGGGTGCTCTGGAGGTCGTGGGGGCCTTCCCTGAAATCCCAGGGGCGCCTTAGGCGAGGGGCACTTCAAGCAACAACCGGCCCAGTACTCCACAGTGCCTCCAAGACGGGCTGCCTTAGGAGCTGCATTAAAGACCCAAGCCCATCCGCCGCTCGACAACGGGCCCCGGCCCTGGGAGGGGGGTCCAGCGTCGATCCCAGAAGTCTGCGCGGACATCCAAGAAAAACAGCTCCGTGCGCCCCTTCGACGAATCAGAACGCATGGCCTGGCCCAGATTGGCTCAAAAATTCGGGGGCGTCCAGGAGGGGGGCCTTCCAAGAGGGGGGCGCAAATCATGGCCGGCGGCATGTGCGCGGCCCATGGGGGGGGGGGGGCGGCGGGGACGCATTGAAATAAGACGAGGCGCCATGAAATCTGGAGTGGGTCAGCTTTCCGGCAAGTTGGCCAAGAAACGCTGGCTCAATTTTGGGGGATGAGGTTCGTAATCAGATACTCGACTGTACTCCAGGGGGCCGATTGCGTGCCCAGGAGGCCGAAACCAAGGCAAGACGCCAGTATTGAAACAACAGCTTCGAGCTCGAGGCGTGACCACGTGCGGTCGCGGTGAGTGCCCCCACAAGATTGTTGTGGAAACACTCACCTCGATGAGCGAGGAGGGAGGGAACTCGAGACTTCAGCGATGACATGAACATGAAAGCTCGGAGGAGGTCCGCGAAGATGTCTTGGATCGCCGCCGAAAGCCCCTCCCTGGCGCGCACAGCGCGCCAAGGCTGGGCACCGATCTAACAACACCGCGCGAAGCTCCGATTGGTTAAGTTTGCACAGCTTTCTCTTCGAGAGGAGGGCAGGAAAGTGATGATGATAATGATGATGATGTTGATGATGATGGGGTAATGATGATTATGACGATGATGATGATGATGCTGATGCTGATGATGATGATGATGATGATGATGATTATGATGATGATGATGATGATGATGATGATGATGATGATGATGATGATGATGATCATGATCATGATGATGATGATGATGATGATGATGATGCCGATTATGATAATTATGATGATGCTGATGGGGTGATGATGATGACGAGGAGGAGTAGGAGGAGGAGGAGGAGGAGGAGGAGGAGGCGGAGAAGGAGCAAAGCAAGACCCTCACACGCTACCTTCCATCACGCCGGCCAGGTCCGTGGCCCTGGCGTCGGGAGCGTCGCGGCTGCCAGGTGCAAGCTCCACCAGCGCCGTGCCTGGCATCGTCGGCGCCGGAAAGAGTACAGCTGTAAACCAGAGGGAAACAAATCATGACATACATATAATTAATAGAACCATCGCGCGCTTCGCGCGCGCTCAAGTTCTAGCTAGGCTTGATAGGCTAACTCATGTAATCTCATTTTGGTCGCTTCTTGCGTCCAGGGACTCCCTTGGAGGCCCTGCTCAAGCCTCGGAATCGTGTAGAAGGGGAAGTGCGGAACCGCAGAAATCATGCATTCCCTTTAGGTGTTCAACGATTTGGGGATCTCAAAGGTTTCCTGGGTTCTTTTTTGGGAGGTGAGGGTGGTCTGAATTGTGGTCTGTTGTGCAAGAGTCGACCGGGGGCCAAACGTGAAGAAAAATAATTATGGGATTTCCATGTTTTTCCCAACCATCCTGTGGTGTTGGGTCCTCGTTTTGAAGAGACAGCGCCCCGCGTTCCTTCCTTCCCGCTGCCCCCTCCCTCCTCCCATCTTCATCATCATCGTCATCACCCATTTCGGCACACCCCTCACACGTTTCGTGGCCCCATAGGGAGCTCCACCGAAGGTCCCAGTGGGTGTGCCCGCATGCGTCCCGCACACCCATTTCGGCACACCCCTCACACGTTTCGTGGCCCCATAGGGGGCTCCACCGAAGGTCCCAGTGGGTGTGCCCGCATGCGTCCCGCACACACATTTCGGCACACCCCTCACACGTTTCGTGGCCCCATAGGGAGCTCCACCGAAGGTCCCAGTGGGTGTGCCCGCATGCGTCCCGCACACCCATTTTGGCACACCCTTCACACGTTTCGTGGCCCCATAGGGAGCTCCACCGAAGGTCCCAGTGGGTGTGCCCGCATGCGTCCCGCACACCATTTCGGCACACCCCTCACACGTTTCGTGGCCCCATAGGGAGCTCCACCGAAGGTCCCAGTGGGTGTGCCCGCATGCGTCCCGCACACCCATTTCGGCACACCCCTCACACGTTTCGTGGCCCCATAGGGAGCTCCACCGAAGGTCCCAGTGGGTGTGCCCGCATGCGTCCCGCACACCCATTTCGGCACACCCTCACACGTTTCGTGGCCCCATAGGGAGCTCCACCGAAGGTCCCAGTGGGTGTGCCCGCATGCGTCCCGCACACCCATTTCGGCACACCCCTCACACGTTTCGTGGCCCCATAGGGAGCTCCACCGAAGGTAGTGGCATGCGTCACACCGCACACCCCTCACACGTTTCGTGGCCCCATAGGGAGCTCCACCGAAGGTCCCAGTGTGCCCGCATGCGTCCCGCACACCCATTTCGGCACACCCCTCACACGTTTCGTGGCCCCATAGGGAGCTCCACCGAAGGTCCCAGTGGGTGTGCCCGCATGCGTCCCGCACACCCATTTCGGCACACCCCTCACACGTTTCGTGGCCCCATAGGGAGCTCCACCGAAGGTCCCAGTGGGTGTGCCCGCATGCGTCCCGCACACCCATTTCGGCACACCCCTCACACGTTCCGTGGCCCCATAGGGAGCTCCACCGAAGGTCCCAGTGGGTGTGCCCGCATGCGTCCCGTCGTCTCTCTGCCCAGCGGCAAGAGCCTTGCCCGCTATCAGCCAGCCAGCTAGCTCTTTTTGCTCCGCGCAGTGGACGACCCGCGCGCGTCGCTGGGACCCCTCCGGGGCGACCTGCGCGCGTCGCGGGGACTCCGCGCTGCGCTGCGCCCGCAACCTTGGACTTTTGAGTGCGCGGGCAAAGAGGGAGTAAAGGAAGGGGAGGAAGCGGGCGCGATCCTCGCCGGTGGGCGCGCCGACATTGGCGTCGCGGCGCGCGGGCGATGCCGTCGGGGAGTCCCGGGGAAGCTCCTTGCGGCGGCCACGCCCAGCGTCACGAGTACTCAGAGGCAGACATTGTCAAACTATTGACATTCATACACAATTGCGCCACGCTTTGTCATATTCGCATTCATGCACG